TGGAGTTTAGCAAATATGGGGAAAATGCTGCTTGATTGATCAATATTTAAGAGGCTGGGGACGAAATATAAAAGAGCCGTTCACTGCTTGTTCCTTTTAAATAATCACTGTTAGTACATTTTTCTTGCATTGATAAAACAGTCAGGATGGGGAATTTCCTCTTACAGCTTGGTACTGAAGTATTTATCTAATGTTGCTCAAATATCAGTAACTAGTGCATTTGATCTTATACTCTAGATGAGCATTGGTGAATGTATGTGTGATTGACTCAACATGAAGTCTCTATGACAAAGTAATAGAAGAGCAGGTCACCCAGTGTAACCGTGCAGTTAACTGATTTGTTTTAATAGTGTTTGCACAACCATAAAGCTCCATTGCAGGACGTATCAGGCGTTGGCTTCACGAACAATACTTGTTATTAGAATCAATTCATTGTTGGTTTTGGTCTTTGAAGTGGAGAAATATAGTTGTATCCTTTACAGACAGGAGTCATTAATAACTGACACCTCTGACTGATGGCTCTTACCTTTCTTGTTCCTGATGGTGGGCCCAGCTCCATTCTTGAGCAGCTTCAGGGCGCACTGCCTCTGGCCTCGATAGCTTGCACAGTGCAGCGGCGTGTTACCCAGCAGATCGGTGCAGTTGATGTCTGGAGGCTTCTTCCTGCTGAGCTGCAACGATCACACAGGAAAAAAAGGAAACCGATGTGTTGTCTGGACCCAAGCGTCCTGCAGATCTTTATTACTTTGCTGAAGAACTGAGGCATGACTCTTAAATTTGTCAAACTGTGACCACAAGCTGTCTTTCCACAACTGTACCCCCACTGTTCATTTTGTGAGCTTTTCTGTGAGAGCTTTTCCTAATGAGGTTTTATTGCCAATTCTGTTGTCAGAGGGTGTAGTCCACTATAGACCAACCAGCTGACCAGTCGACCATCTTTCCATCAGAGTCTCCAACTAAACCAGGCTGAAGGAGAAGGCAGGACTACCCACACAGACACTAAGAACCAACAATTGTCATGACTTGTGAAAATGCACAGATAGGTATAACTGTCATTTTGGATACAATAACAAAAACAGCAATCCCTTTCCTTAAATCTTAAACACAGAAATGATCCCAAATTGATTACTGTTCAAAATGTAAGATAAATGTGCATGTTTGAGACTACAACTTCATATCTCTTGGAGTTTTAGATCAGGAATCAGTGACCCTGTTCAGACCTTGTATTACCATCCGTCCTGAGAGATCTGTTCCTGTTCATGTGTTCACACCTGACATTACAATGGGTCTCCTCTGACGACATAAGATACATAAGATCTCACTTCCCTGCTGTATATTCAAATAATCACATGTGTCATTTCTGTTCGCAAAGACCCAACAATGTGTTTTTTACCCAGTATGAGTTTACAGATGTGTCTGATGACAACTTGTGTGTGTGTGCGTGTGTACTGGCTCGAGCGAGCGAGTAAGAGAGAGGTAGAGAGAGAGAAGACTCAGGAGGGGCTGTGCTGTGGAAAAAGACTTTTAAAAGTCAAAGTTGATATTTTCAACTCCTTCATATTTGACCCTGGACACATTCCTGTTCACACAGCAAAAAGAACGTGGCCCCCTCTAAATGTTGTCTGAGTGATTGGATCTTGAGACGCATTGAGGCCACATTTGGGTGCGTTCAGACCTAAACAGAATGCTGACCACTTGTGATGAGATCACTCAGGACAGATGTTAATACCAGGTCTGAATGGGGTCAGTGTCCGGCACTAACCAGCTGAGTCAGAGTTGTCAGGTCTCCTTCTCGTGCAGCGTCCAAAAGTTTTTCCTCTAGTTTCCTCTCTTCTGTTCGTTCAGCCGCTGGTGTCAGTGCAAGCACGAGGCATACAAAAAAAAAAAACGTACGACATCAGAATGTATGCGTTATACAAATAACTTGTTTTAAAATAACCAACATGCAGATTTCAAACAATGTGCGTTAGTGAAATTTTCTAGAAAAGAACATATCCCTCTCACCTTCCAACATGCCTCTGATCTCTGCGTTTTGCGTCACATCTTTGGGAATCTGTGCTGTCCCATTGATGACAGTAGCGCATGCATCATAGTGCAGCAGCAGCATGACAACCTCCTGATCAATACGTGATTGATTGAATGATTGATTGATTGTTTTCTCAATTAAATAGATGAATACATGCATCCACAAAATCGTACTATCAACAAGAGATGCAAAGATTAGATGGAAACTCAAAATCTGAATGGAAATAGACGAACACGTTGAGATACCTTTCTTCCTGTGAAGGCGGCTTTGTGCAGTGGCGTGTCTCCGATATTATTGGGCAAGTTAACATCTGCCCCTGCCTGCAGAGTGGAGCAACACACTCGTTAGCCATGCAGTGATGTAAAACCTACAGCATGATGTGATAGGATTTACCTTAAGCAGTTGCTCAACTACATCTTTGTGTCCAAAGTAACAAGCCAGGTGAAGAGGCGTCCATCCCAGGTTGGACTTACTCTTACCTGAGGAAACACGACACACTGCATCATACCAGCGGACTGTGACTGATATTATTCTCAGGTGGTAACACATACCTTTGCAGTTGATGTTGATCCGCGTCTCCTCCCTGATCGTGGACATGAGGAGCTTCTGAATCCCCGGCAGGTCTCCATTACGGGCACAGCGCAGAAACTGCTCCTCTGGCTCCAGCTCCTCCATGGACCCCTGCAGAGGAAACAAGCAATGGTACAATAAGATGCTTTTTTATTCATATGAGTCAAAAAAAGATCAAAAGATCCATTGCACAAGACACATGCTCAGAATGTCTGAGAAGAAACACAGAGGGTAAAACCGATGACTCTGGAGGTTTATTAGAAGCAGGAAAGTAATTTTCCAAGGGCAACATTTAACTACTTTACATTATTATTCCATGATAACAAGAAAAACAGTTTGCCATACAAAGAAGATTATATCACAGTTATAAACAGGAACTGTTTAAATCAGAAGAAAAATAATCGTCAGAATTGAAGCAGCACGGGCCAAGATATCCTGACTTTTAGTCCAAGCTAAATAAATGACACAATATATCCTTCATTTCCCACAATCCACAAGTATAATGTCTTTCATCAGACCCTACCTGTCTGGCAAACACCTATGTCCTTCAAACTCCAGCCCTAGTTGAATCTAACTCAGGCTTTCAGCTAAAAATGTGTAGTCACAAGCGTAAATATGAAATCACCGGAACCTCATTGATTTATTCTCTCAGACAATATACCACAGTTTTAGTGCAATAAACAAACTGAAGTTATGTGTCAAATCAGCTATGTTCCACTTTCAGAACCTTTCCTGGTGTTCAGTCTGGAGACGTTTATGAAGAAGTCACCATCCTTTGTTGTGTAGGACACACGAGGGAAAGATCACAAGAGTTTCTTTTGTCATGTGATGAGGAAAAAGAGGAAATGTTCAAATGAGAGTTAGAGGTGACAGTCACCAGATCTGGTTAGAGGAACAGGTCCTCCCTTCCTCTCCCCTTCATAAAGCCTGAGTCAACATGACGCTCTGTATTTACAATCAAAACTGTGGCATGCAGAGACAGAGGAGAGAAAGCCTTCTTTAAGCAGTGTGTCAGATTATCACGTGTCCATGAGCAAGGGGGAATGAACCGCACAGACAAGAGATGAAAAGTCACACACTGTCACTAGGAGAGAAGAAAACATAGACTGACTCAGAAACAGGTTGTGTAGAAAAGCATGTGACGCTAACGGTTACCCAACCTGTCTTTCTGCTGATCACTTGATCATCAGTGACAGAAATCTAGAAATCCTGAGACATGCAGTTGCTATACAATCTTCTTTATCGTTAGTATTTTAAATGTCTTTTCATTTGAGTTTTTATTCATTTATCAAGGGGTTTAATCACATTTGAATTACCACATGTAAGAGTTTATTTAAATAATGGTTGGATATTTGGAATATTTGGATAATCTAAATTGATCTGTTCCTGACATGGTTAAAGAGATAATCCATATGGGTTAAAACAATATTTATTGCAGTAAATGGAGAAATCCCAAGCCTGGTTTTGAATGGTTTATTAATGATTTTAATGATTTGTTCATCACTCCAGAGAATTCACTGTGAAAAGCAAGGACGTTTTCAAAGAATATATGCAGATTCTTGTTATTTTGATTCAAGTTCCAGGGTGTGTTGTTTGAAATAATCTGAAGTGTTTTTATTGGTGTAGAATCACCTCAATGCACATTGAACCTGAGTATTTGCTATTGACTTTGTCTGTTTGTGTTTGTTATACATGTCTAGTTAAATATGACATATGTATGTATATATGTTATATATCCCCCTTTTCTATGTTTGATGACACTCTTTGTTTGTACTCATGTGGTCTCTGGGATTGATTAGTATGAATTTTGCGTACGTTTCAATCCAACCAGGTTTTCGCATAAAGCAACAGTGACACGAAGCAGACTGATATGATCGATTGACAGACGCGCGCGCACACACACACACTTACTGCTTCAGCTCGTCCAGTCCTGTGTGTGTGTGAGGTGAAATCCAGAGGTGCTGTCTCTTAGTTGCATGTGATGATGGTTGAAGTGACTCTGAGCTGATTCCTGCTGCTGCACCACGACTCATCACACACACACACACACGCACACGCACACACACACCTACATGTACGCGCACCGTGTGTAACTAACGCTTACAGCTGTCTCTCTCTCTCTCTCTGGTCTGTTTACACTCACATCAGCTGATCTCTGTGGAACGGAACTCGCCTGGACAAATCGTCCGTACCTTTCAAAATAAAAACCAAGAGAGTTTTTTTCAAACGATAATAAGGTTTTTATCAAATCCAAGCCACGGTAACTCATATCAGATACTTAGAGTTTAAAAGGTAAACCTGAAAACCGGTGATTAATTGGTTCATTTTGCTGTTAAAAATTTTGCCGAAGTGCTTTGTTGCATGAAAGCCCCACAGAACCCGGAAGTCAAAGCGCACACGCAGCCAATCCTCTTCTGCCCTGGAAGCACTCAGAGAGACAGGACTTCAGCATGTAGCTCATGTGCTTCAAGTTTAATTGCTTTGTTTATGTTTATCACGGACCATTCATTTTTAAACAGATGACACCTGATGACGAAATAAACTAATGGCTGATGACGCCATAGATCCAGAGGATGACGGAGATCTACAGTCTCAAGTAAGCTGCCTTTACTTTGACAACCTCTGTGATAAAGTTGAAAACAAACTGGCAGGTTGTGTTCCTGTGTCCTGCGAGGAGCAGATGTTGGCAGCTGCGCCAGATGTGCAGCAGCTGACATGTTAATAAAGCGTCCACTGACAAACAACACAGTGACAGCTCTGAAATCAACTGCACTTACAGATCTGTTCACTATCTCTCTGGGTCACACAGTGCTGTTCTAATTTAAGTCCACATGCATGAGCAACTGTGCAAAGATCATGAAGAGAAAACACACACACACACACACACACACACACACACACACACACACACACTATCCTTGTTAGGACTTTGCACTGACCTCCATAAATGTGGAAAGCCCAGCCCAAGTTATTGTATATTTTCCAGAGATGAGTAATCGAACAGTACAAAATGGTCTTTTCCTGATTTCAAGTGCGCCCGTATTACAGAATGTATGGCAAATGCATGTAGTCCATGATACGGAGCGAGCAAACCTATTACTCTACTGTAAAATCTCTTTGATCCATAATTTATTTATTTACACACACACACACACACACACACACCCTGCAGGCTCCTCCCAAATTGCTTGGATTAATTATCACATATGCATGTGATGCTGTGCAGGTACGCAGAGGTCATATAAAATGGACAGGGATTAACACCATCACACGCAGACACATAATTAACCTGTGTTTCTACACTGTGTCTTTGTTGTAGTTCTTAGCTACAGCTTGTCCGTCTACTGACATTACATTCAGGTCACGGCATCCGATTTTCCTAAAAAGTGATTAACCTGTGATCTTGTGAAGACACAGGGGGTTGTTTCACAACACTTACCACTGTTCACCTGTGTCACTCTTCTAACACTTTGGATGCAAAAACATAGCTTGGCATGGTAGAGGAGCCTTTAATCCTTTGACTAATTGCACTACATTAAGTTATAGGTCATCAGCAATGTCTCTGCTCATTTTGTTTGGAAAAAAAAGAATAATATCAACTATTTTGGAATGAAAATATAGATGGAGACTCAGAGAGTGTCTACCTCCTGCCAAGGCTGATTAGCCACTTATACACATGTATTGAAATCAGAGATAACCCATCATGTACACAGACAAAAGGATAGGTCCATAGGCTGAAATGACCTTGTGGATTAATTATTTTCTACTGACTCACATTGATGTGTGTTCTTTGTTTTTTCACCCCCCCATGTAGATCGAGGAGGTTGAGGCTCTGTCGTCCATTTATGGTGATGAATGGTGTGTTATAGATGAAGCGTCCAGAATATTTTGCATCAAAATATCATACGACTTAGAGGAGCCAAAGCTGACAGCATGTTTGCAGGTAGAGGAGCAAAAACCTTGCATAACAGCCACAAGTGTCAGTCCTTGTAGCTCATTTGTAATCCAGGTTATGGCTCTATTCTTATTAATCAGATAATTCTCCCACCTGATTATCCGAGCGCAGCACCCCCCATCTACCAGATCAAGTAAGTCAATTTGCCTTTCAAATGTAATCTTGATCTGCTGAACTGACTGAACAACATCCCACTCAAAAATCCACTCCTTGTCCTGTTCAATAATCCTCTGTTTGTTCTGGGCTTTTGTAGTGCGGCGTGGTTGCGAGGCCCTGAGAGGGCCAAATTGGCAAACAGCCTGGAGGACCTCTATGTGTGAGTGCTTCTCATAATTTGTGACTTCGCGAGGAGGTGCTGTGGAGTGAATTCAGCCACAACAAAAGCTTTTCATTATTCCTTTCGGTGCCGTCTCTCTTCAGTCTGTGTAATATGGAATGGGGATGTTTGAATTTTCAACAGGGAGCATGTGGGGGAGAGCATCCTCTACCTGTGGGTGGAGAAAATTAGAGAATTCCTGGTGGAGAAATCCCAGAGCTCTGAAACAGGTGAGGTGTTAAAAATGAAATGTATGCTTTAGGGCTCCCTTAGTGACTGTTGCTATGCTTGTCTAATGCACAACATATATGTGGTGTGTTATAATATGGTATATTTAAATGGTCTGTATTTATATGGTGCTTTTCTAGTCTTGATGACCACTCAAGGTGCTTTACAGTACAGTTTTACATTAAATCATTCTAACACACGTTCATACAGTGCATTTATGTGCAGCACTTTTCTCTATGACAAGGGGCAATTTGGGGTTCAGTGTCTTGGGGACACTTCACCCTAATGATGATATTGATAGATATTGATCCAAGCACTTTGTAGTTGTTTAAGTGATGTACAAATTAAGTAATATTATTATTATTTATTTATTTAGGTATTTATTATAATGATAATGGTGACAAAGATACTCAAAATTATTATTATTTTTTTAATTTGTCTTTAATTTTACACAGGAATTAACAAAAGTCAAGATTTTTAAAAGGTTTTAAAGGTCCAGTGTGTAAGATTTGGGTGAAAGGGATCGATTGAATATAGAATAATCCTCATGATGTTTTCACTGGTGTGTTTCATCAAAATTTTATGAATTTTATTTTTCTTTGCCCCAGAAAAGGCCCTTTATATTGAAATACTTTATATTTACATCGAGGGGGTCCGCTCTACAGAGGCGGCCATGTTTTTTTTTTACAGCAGTCCAGACTGGACAACCTAAACCCCTTTTGAGTTTTTATGACCACTGAAGGCTACCACAGGTTTTATGTCATGTTTGGAAGGGGAGGGTGAGTTGAGGGGTATTCAGCTGCAACATGCAATTTCACCACTAGATTTCACTAAATTCTTCACACTGTACTTTTAACAAATTTTATCATCTGTAGCTAGCCAGCATGAACTAATTTTATAGCAACACAATGATGTTTTTTAACCTTAAAATAACAGCTTCAACATTATTTTTGATAGGACACAAACTAATTATAAGGAGAACTTCATCCCTGCCATAGCCACAAATATTATTATGAAACTCTGGAGGGACAAATACATACTGCAATCTACATATAAAGCATGTGCATGATATACATCACCAATTTAGACATGGGAGTGAAGTTGCTCTAAGACTCATCCTAGTATTATACGTATATTATATTGTCATTAAAAAAAATTTATGTAAAAAGATACTTCGATAGGTTGGATGGTTACATCGTGATAACAACATTGTGTCGGTTGTTATGTTTTAGGTATATGTCACTTTTTTAAAAGAGATGATCAATATCTGATGAGTACAAGTCTGAATGAAGTTGATGAACAAATAAAAAGCAGGACAAAGCTGTTAATGGGACTCTAGCACTAGTTAGGTGGCTAGTTAGCCAGGTATGCGAACAGTTGCACACACACACAAACTCACACTCATTTTATTGCATTCTTTATGCCTGTTTATTTACTTTTTTGTAACAACACTTCTCACAGCATGTGGAGAAATCTAAATCCTGATAGCCTGCTGTATTGAGTCATGGCTGTTAAGCTGTGATTTGACAGCCTCTGGTCAGGGGCGGGGTTTAGCAACCAGTCAGTGACGTGCTTTCCAACGTGCTAGAGAACACGATAACTTCAATTCATGTTTACAACTTGGGTCTGATAAAAATCACTGTTCGTCGTCTAGGTAATTATTAGATAAAGTCTTACTCAGATGAATTTACTTCCCTCCTCGACTAATGGTGTGCTCCATCTTCTACTAAGATGCTCCTCCATTAGTGATCTGTCTGATGCACTTTAATGCTCTGCAAAGATGAACACAAAGGCCTTTAAGGACATTTTAAAAACCCATCTGTTTGAGACTTTGAGTGACTGCTCTGAATTAAGATCGATATAATGACTTCTGATACCGTGGCAGAACCTTTTAAGGTGTAAAAAGACTAAAAAACACCCTGAGTAAAAAAATTTCCCCAAGTCTCAGCGTGAATCAGGTCTTCTGGGATCTGTGGGTGGGTGGGTGGGTGAGTGGGTGGTCTGTCTGGGTTTTCTGTATCCAAGCCCAGCAGTATTCGCTATTGAGGCAGATGGTCTCCATTGAGCAACAAGACTGAAAACTATTAACTATCCTCCCCATTGTTGTGAGATATGAATCCTCCTCTCTCTGCAATTCCAGTGATAATACATATGACAAGTCACAGCACCTTGGGTCAGCAGAGTGGGTCTAACGGCTCATTCCCTTTCAGATTAGTGGGACATGGTGGAGAGAGGGAGAAAGAGAGAGGTGGTGAGTTGGAAGTGATAAGGTTGAAGATGCACATTTCACAGAGAAGGAAACGAAAAGGGAGTAAACTGGAGTGATGATGAAGTTTGATTGAATGAGGTCAGATACAAAGGAAAGGATGAAAAAGCATATTTACCTTATTACAGCAAGCCTAGAGTTCTCAGCAGTTCGACTTTGATCATTTCATTTCTTACTATTACAGTCATCTAAGTATTAGCTGGAAATGTATTAATAGGTTTGGTGATAACATATTTTTCATGATAATTTGTCAATGGAAACCAAAACCAATCCCATTGAGGCCTGGATTCAAAACCAACAAAACAGTAAAATATTGAAATCACAGGCTGATCCAGCTTGTGTGAATTTCCTCACAGCAACTTATAACTTTACTCAGTATTGTGTATGGTCCCTGCGTGCATGTGTGCACTCCCGACAATGTTTGGGCATGCTCCTGATAAGTCAGCTGTTGGATCAGGGCACCAGTGAGCTCCTGGACACCGATGCATAACGTCTCATAGGTGCTCAATTGGATTTAGGTCAGAGGAACGTGAGGGCCAGACAATGGCATCAATGCCTTCATCATCCAGGAACTGCCTACACACTCTGACAAACACTCTGAGAATTTCATCCCAGTACCTAACGGCAGTCAAGGTACCATTGGCTATGACATGGAGGTCTGTGCGACCCTCCAAGGATCCGGCTCTCATCTGTGAAGAGAACGGGGCACCAGTGGCGGACCTGCCAATTCTAGTGTTCTCTGGCAAATGCCAATCAAGCTGCTGGGTGCTGGGCTGTGAGCACAGGTCCACTAGAGGTTCTCAGACCCACATGCAGCCCTTATGGAGTCTCTCTCTGTTTGGTCACACACCAGTAGCCTGCTGGAAGTCATCATGTAGGGCTCTGGCAGTGCTCCTCCTGTTCCTCCTCGCACAAAGGAGCAGATAGCGGTCCTGCTGCTGGGTTGATTCCCCTCTATGGCCCTGTCCAGCTCTCCTTGTGTAATCTCCTCCATGTTCTTGAGACTGTGCTGGGAGACACAGCAAACCTTCTTGCATGTATGGATGTGCCATCCTGGAGGAGCTGGACTACCTGTGCCACCTGATTGGGCTGCAGGTACCGTCTCATACTACCAGCAGTGACTACCTAGAGTGACTCTAGCAGAACACAAAACTAAAGGAGAATCAGTCAGGAAGAATAAGGAGAGAGCAACTGTCTGTTGCCACCACATGTAAAACCATTCCCTTTTTGGGGGTTGTCTGGATTTTACCTCTCCATTGCACTTGCTGTCACTTTTATTTGCACCAAACCATTTACAATCAATTGTGTGTCCTGAATGGACAGATTGATAACCCTGAAGTTTAACTTATGTGTTATACTGTAATGATCAAGAGTTCCCTTTATTTTATTGAGCAGGGGTATATACACTGTTTATTTATGATAGATATTGTTGTTTGTGTCTTTTCTATCATACATAGAGCACTGTGCAAACAAGACACACCCTTTCTATGTCCCCTGACATGTAAAACTTAGGGCTAAAAAGCATCTACAATGGTTTCTTAACTTTGCCTTAATCTCATTGCTTCAAGTAATAATTTAATTCACGTCTGATGAGTGAATCATTATCAAGTCAGATCTTGTCTAGTCTAGACTGTGCTCCCCTGTTTTGGTAACATTTGCTTAGAAGCACAGAGTCCATAAATGTAGTGTTCACTACATAGTAGCCTCAGAAATTGCAAACTGGAACAAAAGTTCAGTGTGGCAAAAAATACGATAAAAATACTCCATTTGGAATTTAATGTGCAAATTCTTCTTCTTTTTTACATTTTCTGACAGGTCCATGGTGAAGAATTTTAGTGTTTTTTGCTGAAACAGGAAGTTCTCCACAAATGGCCTACTTGGTCAAGTCTAAACACATCTACATGATAATATTAAGTCTCCATCACATTGCCACCTAGTTGCAAAGGTAAATGACAGCTTAAACACTGACATCCTCCTCACAAGGTGAACTTATGACTTTACATTTAGTCAGAAAAGCCTTAAGACCTTGATGATGCTTAATTGTTTGGTGAGTTTCACCAAATGGTGTCACGATTGCAGTGTGTTGAATTTCAATCCTTCTCCACTCAGTCACTTTACTGTAAGTGTTAAGGCCATGTAATGGTAATTTGGTTAGCACAGTAGGAGTCATTTTCATGACAAGCTGACTGGCCTGTAGACAACTCAGGGAAAACAGGCACCAGGTTGGGGATTTAAAAGAAAATATGCATGACCACATTTTTACTTGATCTCCTTCAGTGGATCAACCAGAGAAGGTGAACATGACGACTGAAGAGGAGGTGGATGATGATGATGATGAAGACATACCTGACCTCAGGACTCTCAATCTTAACCCACAAAATGCACATCTTTTCGTGGATCATTCAAACGGTACAACTCATTTTGTTTATATGGACTCAGTGATCTAATTAAACAGAGCTCAGGTGTGATGTTTTATATTTTATCATGTAGATGAAGAGGTTCCTCCAATAAAACATGGAAGTACCATCACAGACCGACGCAGCACCTTCCAGCCACACTTAGCACCTGTGGTGACTCCCAGACAGGTAAAATCCATCGATCCTTTCATCCAACCATTCATTCTTCCATCCTTCTATTCATTAATTTATCCTTCCTTCCTTCCATCCATTGATCTCTCCATCACACTTATCCTGTGAGGGTCACAGGTGATGGGGCCAATCCAAGCTGACGTAGTAATTTAGAGTCCCCAAATTACCTTAAAACTCCATAGATAAAGTCCTCGGCCAAACTGGGTTCTGGAAACTTGTTCCTGGGTGTTGACGGTGCTAACCACTGCTCCACCATGCCACCCTCACACTGATTACTTGGTTGTTTTAAATTGCCATAGAAGACATGGGTAAAAATGGATACAGCTCCTACAGTTTGTATAAATGTTTCACACACTGCTTCATTTTTCTTAAGGCATGAAGCAGAAGTAGAAATTCCTCAACGAGGGTCTTGCAGAGGAGAAATACATAAATGTGTTAATTCCCTCAGCAATCTTCCAAACTGAACATCATCTGACTGCTTCCTGCATATTATGCATCCTCTGGCTCTCTGCTAACACACCAGCCCATCTTAAAAGCTTCCACCTGCTGTGAAGTGCTATTTGCACAAAAATGTTAACAGTATTTTCAGTCGTCCTCAACAGACTAGATGAAGTGAGGAAACTGAGAGCCGTCCAGGATTTACATATTTCACTTGTAATCTTCTGTGTTCAGTTGATGAAGATATAATTGAGGTTAAGACAACACCAGTCCATCAAAGCATTAAGAGCAGTCACTGCTTAGTGGTTGATCAGTGTAACCTAATGTCTTAACTTATAATGTCTTCATTTGGGGAACAAATACATGGAAAATGTCTCGGGGTATTTTTTAAAGGAACACTGTACATATACTATAATATACTGCATGATGTGAAAAACTTTTGATCAGTGAATGATAAAAGCTTTAAGGAAGAGCTCCACGTTCATATGACATTAAAATCTGTGTATAAATGGGTGGTGATTGAATAGAAAAATACCGTCCAGTACTTTAAGTAAGATTACTGATTTAACTTGTCCTGTTTAAGGTCAGACCACACATTGACCTCAAATGTCATCTGCACAGACAGAGCTTCATTTTCAGTCTCACATAATTTCACAATTGATCTTCTTTTCTTGACATACATACAGCCAGGGAAGAAAAGGTTTTCTGCTGAGGTAGATTTTAGGGTAAACTCATTTTATCAGCAGTTTTCCTCCACACTCAAGTTGTAGATACATGCGGATGTGAAATGAGGAATATGTCATATTTATTGTTCTGTGTATTGCAGGTTAAAATGGTCCTGGGAAACCTGTATGAAAACAAGAAGATTGCTAGTGCCACTCATAATATTTATGCATACAGGTCAGTATTGTCGGATATATATATATATCTTTATATGAAGTTTATGTCATTGCTTTATAATGCAAATCTTGTTAACATCTGCAGGTTAGTTTAATAGTCTGTCTAATTAGAGGAGGAAAAAGTGAGATAAGTAGAGATTCCAGGCCTGACTGTCTTCTCTAAAGGCCATATTACTGCAGTTAAAGGTCAAAAAAGCACCAGAGAAAATGACAGTATTGTGTATTATGTGAACAGATGTGTGTCCTGCATGCCTCTCAGTGTGTGGCTGTGTTGTCCTTTGCCCATGAGAGGTTTTTTAGTGTGGTCTAATGAGGTCGATGTCGAGCCGCTGATGCACTGCCTGGGTAGTCATTACTCATAGGAGGTGGATGTTGACATTTAGACCACCACTTAAATAAAACTTTTCTGATGAAGTGTCAGTGTCATTCTCTGAACAGAATGTTTTAGTGCTCTCCCCCCTAATTCCAAGCTGGTGTGATTCTCTTTGCCTTAGGATTTTCTGCGAGGACAAACACAGCTTCTTGCAGGACTGCGAGGACGACGGCGAGACAGCTGCAGGGGGAAGATTGCTCCACTTACTGCAGGTTATCATTTCTCACTCACAAAGCTTTTCCCCACAGTTAATACTACAACCACGATGTTAAATTTCCTCCCTTCATCAAACTTTATTTTGGCTTATGCCTCCTTAATTGTATGTTCTAAGCTGCCCTGTTCATTTTTATAGACTGTTTAATTTGGCATTTTAAACTTCATCATCAAGTCATCATTATGAGTAAGGGCCATTTCACTGCAGTACTAAAATGTCCTATTGTCTGTGGTAGTTCCATCTACAATTTAAGACTTGTTCTTAAAAC